TTGACAGTGTTGTGGGAATTAGTTGTTAAGCAGAGTGAAGGCATTTGGGGAAAAAACTGTCCTTGTGTCTAGTTGTTTTGGTGTGCAGTGTTCTATAGCATCGTTTTGAAGGTAGAAGTTGAAACAATTTATGTCCAGGATGTGAGGGGTCTGTAGATATTTTCACAGCCCTCTTTTTGACTCGTGCAGTATACAGGTCTTCAATGGAAGGCAGATTGGTAGCAATTGCTTTTTCTGCAGTTCTAATTATCCGTTGAAGTCAACTTAGTTAATAAATGTGGCTAAGAATGAGCTACGAAGCCCATCCAAAGCATGCTTGAGGAAATTCTGTCTCAGTCCCATCATAAGCAGCAAAATCATCGATGACTTTCTCAAAGATTGATCATGGTTAAGACTTAAAAGGTGGGTATTTCTGATCTGTGTGGTTGCATCACCGTCATTACTGTTTTATTGCAAACAAAACTTTGAAAGAAGTGTGGGCAGAGAAGAGAAGCTCACCCTAAGTCATTTATGTATTTATTTATTTTATACAGGTGCCCATCTTACTGAAAGCAACTCTGGGTGATGTGCACAGGAAGTCCTCCTGTGAAATTCATGACTAAATGGGGATTTTTGAACCGGGGTTCCCCAATGTCTGACACATTGCTTTTCTGCATTATGTTCAGTGCAATAGTAAATTTCCATCACGGCACACATGGACACACGCACACCCACAATGCTAGTGCAGAAAAACACACTTTAGGGGGAAGGAACATAATCAGATGTGCATATTGTTATCTGAGAAGAAAGCACGCTCTGCAATGAGTTGTCAGTTCTGAGAAAGAGATCAGAGAGAAAGATAGAAAGAGAAAAGTAATTTGGATGCTTCCATTTCTTAATTTCGGGGTAGTTTTAAACCGGGAATAATGTTGCTAGTATCAGGATAGACAACTGCACCCTCTGCTAAACAAATAATTCCCTCACCACTGTCAAACCATTCACTAAGGCTGCATTACTATTACTATTAATAGCAATAGCAATAGCAGTAGACTTATATACCGCTTCATAGGGCTTTCAGCCCTCTCTAAGCGGTTTACAGAGAGTCAGCATATTGCCC